AGTCCTACAGTGATCTATTAGCATCATTAGCTGCTAAGGCTGCAGTGTATTTTCACCACCATTTTCACAACCATATCTGTGAGAATTGGTCATCATTCTTGGCCCATCATCTGCAAATTCACAATTCAAAACTATTGCAATTGCAAGTGTTCAAAGCCATTCCAGGTGCAGGCTTCTGTTTGCTTTTCAATGGTTTCCAGTGTCTTTCCAGTCCAGTATTTTCCAGTTATCTGCAACTACTTTACTTCTCTGTCATTAATGGCAATCTTTTTTGACATACCATTTGTCACACATCTAATAATGACAAAATATCTACTAATAAGTTAAATTAAATAGCTAGCTTATTCAGCACAACAATTCTATTAGACTCTATTAAGATTGAGCTCAAACAAGTTAACTAACTTACTCAACATCATTACCTAAAAAATTCCAGGATTAGGAATTAAATACAGATCTCTCTGCCTCTAGCATTGTTTGGTAATACATTCTCTATAATCAAATAATAATAACAGATAATCTCAAATGCCCTCTTGCTATGGTACATAGCAATTTAGACTTAATTTTAATTCATTTAGATTTAATTCTAATTAATACATTTAGTCCTCACAGTAAGCCTATGAAATGGGTACTTTCATCAACCATTTCACAGATGAGAAAAATTTAGCCACAGCTTAGCTTGTTTGAAGTCACAATGACAGTAACTAAGTAAGAGCAAAAGCCAAGATTCAAATGTAGGTTATTTCACTACAGGCTCAGAAACAAGTTAAACTTAGAGCCTAAAATGCTTTCTGGAATTGAAATGATACATTATATAAACCTATAAAGATAATTGACTATAGCTTCCTAAACTACAAATTATCATAAAAATGACATCTGTCCTGTATCAATCAGAAATTGTTATTAAAATTAAGAGTATTATGAGACAATAGAATGTCTAGAGCTTTTAATACACTGATATCAGTACCAATTGATAGACTTCAAAAGCTTCATAATTCATTTATTCAAATAAATATACTTTAAAACATGGGCTAAACAATGACTTTTAAAAATCTGTAATGGGTGGAACTCTTTAAAAAATAATTTTGTTTTATATCCAAGTGATATCCTTTTTATAAAAACTGAAAATTATTTCTTTTATAAGATATATACCAAAATTATTAATAATTTAAATGTTGCTTTTTTAATAGTCCTTCCAAACACAAGCACCATTACCAAATCAACATTACAACTTTACCATTTTTATTGCTTGTTTACCAGAATTTCACACATTAACTTTTCAATTAGATACCTAAATTCTGTTATTCATTATTGTCATGTAACTTAACAACGTTTTTTAAGTAAGCTTAGTAAAAGTCGTCACTTTTGAGAAAGTCAATTTTAGCTAATAAAGCTACATAGAATCAACTTTTGGAAGATGTAGTAATCTATACAAATCAAGAACTAGGGAAATGAAAAGTATCTTAAGGCGATTGCTAAATTTAGATCTCCTAGAATAGACTTAAGGTTCTTTTTACTCTTCAAGTGAGTTGGAAACTCCCAAAGGTAAGTTTACCTGTTTTCAGGTAACTATTTTTCTAATACAAACATAGCTACAGTTTTCATCCATGGATTCCACAAAACAATATAGTCATCTTTTCCTTTGTTCCACCTAAGCCCACAAGGCTGATTATGATCAGATAAATTATTTCTATAATTACTACATGCTTTGACTTCCAATAAGGACATAACTGAGAAAACTAGTGAATACATATAAAGAAGTGTTACACCTGGGGAAAGAATTAGTTAAGCTTCTTTGCCCAGTATGTTTTACCAAAAAAAAAAAAAAATCAAAGCCAGCAATCCTCCAAAGAAATCGCTCCAGTTATTCCTTACTGCAAGTAAATCCAAATGAAATTAACAAGACCATTGACTCCAAGTAAAGTAGCTGTATCTTAAAGTAACTAACATTTTGCAACGTGAAGTATATAAAAGACAATAGGAGAGACAAGGCCTCCTTAAATTGTGAGTTGGCTGAAACTGGACTATTGACATTTCATTACCTGAAACGTAACATACCTTTCATTATTGCAAAAGTAGTTTCTTTTAAAAAATCTAGCAATATGTTAAAAAAAATATAAGCACTTCAGGATATTTTTCTCAGCCATTGAAAAATATCTAATTAAATATCATCATGTATAGCATTCATAGAAGAAACATGAAAATAGTCCCTCAAGCCCATTACATTCCCTTTCCTAGAATGTTTTACAATCAGAAAGCTCTCAGCTCATCTGCACCAGGCCATAGTTGTTGATATTGGTAAAATAAACAAACAATATTACTAATTGTCTCTCAGTATTAGACTCAAAGTTGAAAATCCTTCCAGATTAAAAGAAATAAATCATACTGAGAAATGTAGACACAATGAAAAAGCAATGAGTGAGCTACCTTTTCTGAGCAGAGGGTATTGATTTCTCAGTACCTTCTTTAATCACACTGTGTGGGTGACCCTCTATTTATCAGTTCATTAATCTGGCCAACATAGGAACTACTGATGCGGACTAAGTTTGCATTGGGCCTGTTTGTCACTGTGCTCCTACTCAAGGAAGAGAAGCTCAAGAGCTTTGGCTGTTTCTGAGACATAAGAGGAAAAGGAACAGCAGGGAAGCAGTGATAGTTGAAATGAGATATTGGAATTTACTGCAAAAACAGGATAAATTCTTAAATTTGAATTACAATATCCCACCTATAAAACTTCCTGTAATGTTCAACTAAGCAAAAGTCACATGAGGCATAATGTCACCAGCCTGTTACCAGATGCTCAGGTTTCTTTCTCATCACATTTCAAGGGATATTATAATGAAAATGTTTCATTGATTTAAACATAGAAGTCAGTAGAGAATCCTATTGGTTTGCCTCATAGAGATATATAGGATTGTTTCATAGAAATATATTTTATAGCCAACTCCATCATAACAAACTATTCTACAAAATAAGTGATACCTTTTCTACTATATACTACATATACTTTCTTCTTTTTTTCTTTTCTTTTCTTTCTTTTTTTTTTTTGAGAAGGAATTTCACTCTTGTTGCCTAAACTGGAGTGCAGTGGTGCAATCTCAGCCCACTGCAACCTCCTCTTCCTGGGTTCAAGAGATTATCCTACCTAGCCTCCCGAGTAGCTGGGATTATAGGCATCCACCACGCCTGGCTAATTTTTTGTATGTTTAGTAGAGACAGGGTTTCACCATGTTGGCCAGACTGGTCTTGAACTCCTGACTTCTGGTAATCCACTCGCCCCGGCCTCCCAAAGTGCTGGGATTAAGGGCGTAAGCCATGGCGTACAGCCTACATACACTTTCATTATTATTTTTCACAAACTCTATCTCACTTTAACATATTTCCCAAGGATTACAACTAAAATAAATACAGAAATTTAATCTGATATTGATGGAACGTTTTGTTTATATAATTCATAGGTAAAGAAATGAAAGTAAATTCTTAACATGAAGTACATACAAGTACCCACATGAGGTCTAAAAACAACTTTTTCCTTCCTCTCACTTGCTGGGTAACCTGACTTTGTCAGCATTTAAGTGAGTAGGATACCACTTAAGTGAGTAGGATACACACAGGATATCTGAGAATGAATGATCTTACCTGTAACTGCTTTGAATCTCTGGAATACACCCCCTTACTCAGTAGAAAACAGTTTTAGTGTGTTTCTTTGTTTTTTAAGCTTTTGATTTGTTTTCTGCATCAAATAAGGGGCAAACTCAAGGTTCTTTTTATTTCTTACTGAATATGACAAAGTTACTCATATCAAAGCTAAAAAGTAATAATGTCCCATCCATCACAGGCCTTTAACAGTAACATACTTGTTGAATTACCCTAAGATGAAATTTCAAAGGCAAAGGTCATGCAATTTCAACTGTGGTAAATACATTTAGAAAAACTCTTGGAATACTTGTCTATAAAGAGAATAATTGCAGAAGAACATGAGTTTAAGTCTTATATATATCATTCATGTTCAAAGACTCAAATATATATTCATAACCTGAAAAGGGTTTTTTCTATAGGAATTAAAAAATAGCTACTCATAATATGAAATTTCTATTCTTAGTAAGCATGTTTAGTAAAAATAAAAATAATATTCATGGAACATCTGTGGCTCCTCTTTGTTTAAAAGCAGAATAGATATCTAAAGAGACATTATTTTAAAATATTGTTTAAAAGAGGAGAGCATATGACTATGAACATGTTTCAGATTTCATTTTATTCATGAATTCTTGAATATTTGATTTCCCGAATGTCTTCCCAAGGGAAGTCAGGTGGCATTGTCATAATCAAGTAAGGATTTCTCCAAGTGTCTTCAATAAGCAATCCCAACAGGAGAGCTAAAAATCAAGATTTCCTATCTGTGGTGAAACGGAGAGTGTTAGGGTTAAATCAGAGATGAAATTCTGAGCTGAATCACCCCTGGTGAGGCCTCCATCTCGTTTAGATTTCAGAGTATATTATTTCCTTAACTACCATGGGTTTACAGTTTAACTCATATCCAGCCAGATGCATTTAATTCATATCCAACTAGATGATAGGCTAGTTTTTACTTCCATAATTATCAACAATGATACATACAGCCTAGAATTAATCCAACAAGACACTCTGGCATTTGAGTAGAGTTAGTAGTCCATGTGCATTACTGATGTATCCACAAATAATATATTACTATCAGCTTAAAAGCCAGAAAGCATTTTCAACACAAATTGTTATGTATTCTTTAAGAGTCTTTAATGTTTTAATTCTGGAGTGGAATGTAAGCATATTTGCCTATGCATGAATAATCTTCCCATGATAGCCTTTAGATACTGATTCTTCACACATGAAGACACTCAAATAGCCGAAGACAGTCATTCAATTTGGAAATGATTTTTAGCAGAAGTTCTGCCTACCCACCCAATTCATACATAACCAATTCACCCCAAAGTGAATCAGAAATAGACCTAGGAGGAAGGAACATCTTACCTGCCAAAGCAATGCAATATGCTTTTGTTTACACCTTTTGTTGATAGTTGCCATGCAACACAAGAAGCTACAGTGGCCCCTGAGGAAATAAAAATGATTAATCATAGTGACGAAATGCTAACACTGTATTACATAATATTTCAATGCTACCATAGATACATGCATTTTAACTTCAGATGAATAAAACATTTTGCTCCATATTTATGATAAGTAGCAAGACATTTCAGAGGGATTATTTAAGCATGGTATTGAAGTTTTATTTGGCAAAGGTCACTAAAAATTGTTATATACACAGCCATTCTGAACTCAGGAAATGAAAATCATCTTTTCACTATCTTTGGTACAGATGTACTTCTGTGGTTTTAGGTATTATTCATCCATTTGTTCTTTTTAAAAAAATTTATTGATCCATGACAATGTAAACATACTTTGCACTGAATAGGATTTTGCCTAAGGTTTATCCTATACAAAGTCTATCTTTTGTTTACATTAATAAAGTTTCCCAGAGTTGAGGATATTTCAATGTTTCCAGGGTGAAAAAAATTGGTAACATATTTAAGGCACTCATAGACTGAATATTTCATGTCACTGAGGTATATTAATGAGTAATTACTTACTACAGAGAAAAATACAAGTTTCTAAAAAAGGTAAAGAAACAAATTATAAATCTATGTAGAAGTACACTGACACATGATTTTCTTTCTTCAGTGAACAAATAGTTACTGAGATTTAACCAAATGCAGAGCACTTTGTTAGAAGCCACCTGCAGGAGTCAGGCAGCATCAGGGAGGTTGGAGAATATAAATTGCAACCCTCCAGAATTCCAAAAGAACTTAAAATCTAGAGGAGGAAAAGATTAAAATGGATGAAAGGTTAGCTCCTGATTTAAGATAATATTATTTGATAAATAAGAATATGCACGTTAATCTAGGTTTTACCAGTTTAAGATGGTGGCCTTCATTTAAATTATTTGAGATGTTTCCTAATCAAAATTAGGATAACAACGGTACTTTTTTCTCATGAGGTTTGAGGATTAAATGAGGAAGTTAGCATTCAGGAAACGTCTATTGTTATTTGATTCCAAAAGAGTAATACATACAAGATGAGAAGAACTTGGAAACAGAGTAGAGGTAGAGGTTGTACAGAGCAGCGCAAAAGAATCGTCAAGCATGGGGACGGACTTCAATGGGAGCTTGAAAGACGGTTACGATATGAATGGGCAAAGATAAACAGGGTAGCACTACAGTCTGTGGGAATGTAGCAATAGAGGACAGACACACATGTCATGTTTGCTGAACCAGCCCAGCTAGAGTAGAAAGTGTGGGTTGCAGTTTACTAGGCTACAATACTGTAAATAAGAGTGGAGGCCAAACTGAGGCACTTTAAATAAAAAGGCTAAATGATAACGCACTTCACAGGTCAGCGGGAGTAAATTGGTTGCTGGTTTTGCATATTAATCAAAAATATTCATGTTTGGAAAGTGTCAAAAAAATACAAATAAAAAAATAGTCATATTGATTTATGGAATCTAGTTTTTGACACCACACTTTCAAAAATAAAATCTAAGATATTAAGGAAAAGAACCGATCCTTTTAGAAGACTGTTTAGATTTTATAAGCCATGCATCATAGTTACACCTCTGCATCTTCACATTCCATTTTCATAAAAATATACAGACCCTTTGACTTTCAATGCAAAAGGCAATAGCTAATCTACTTTTAACTAGGATAGTCAGCATGTTTGGCCTACTGAGTTCTGTAAGTAGAGAAGGATAACACATCAGTAAACAGAAATAATGAGTCAACTGGGTGTCTATTCTTGAAAATAAAGTCTTCAGTGTTACATCACTCCAATTATAAACCAGCAATTCTTCAGATCCCATTAATTATATAAGCATGCCAAGTTAAGTTTAGGGCATACCAAAGATTCTTATTTTATGACTTCTGAAATATTAAAAATTTTTAAATGGAAGTTTTTAAATTTAAAATTATAGAATTCTTAAAAGCTTCAAATTCAACACATACTTACATGTACTTCATTTCAAATTTTAAAATAATTTTGTCTGTGATTAATTAAAAATATTTAACTGAAGTCAATCTGGTAAATTAAATAAGACTCATAAGATTCAAATGTATGATGATAACATAAATTACACCTTAGGAGGACACGGGGCCTGAGGGATTCATATATTAATAGTGATGGCTACAGACAAACTGCTTTAACTACTTTACTATTAAAAAATGAATTGCTGACTCTAAGAACCAGAAGAATATTTGAGAGACACGGAGTCCCCTCAAATCAAATCATTCAGATGACCAAATCACTCTACCAGTGATGTCAGCCCTGCCTAAAGATAAAGGAACTTTTTTTTTTTTTTTTGAGACAGAGTCTCTCTCTGTCGCCAGGCTGGAGTGCAGCGGCATGATCTCCACTTACTGCAACCTCCGCCTCCTGGGTTCTAGAGATTCTCCTGCCTCAGCTTCCCAAGTAGCTGGGACTACAGGCACACACCACCACGCCCAGCTAATTTTTGTATTTTTAGTAGAGATGGGGTTTCACCATGTTGGCCAGGATGGTCTTGCTCTCTTGACCTCATGACCCGCCCACCTCGGCCTCACAAAGTGCTGGGATTACTGGCATGAGCTACCGCACCCGGCCAATAAAGGAGCTTTATCCCTCTCCCCCATCAGGCATGACATAAAGGGCAATCACCAATTAGGTGCTGACTCACAAATCTTAATAAACAGCGCAAAAATCTGTGTGACAAAGACCTCTGTTCCTATTCAGGTCAGTCCTGCAAACATGTACTCAAAACCTAAGGACAGTAAATAAAGCACTCTGTGAGATGGCAGAGCTGCAGACTTCAGCCTGGCCGTCCTAACACAATGACCTGCTGCAACCAACCATGGGAAATGGAGTTAGGACTAATACAAAAGGAATTGCTCATCCCTGGAAACTGATTTTAGTTCTACTTCATCTTGAGGGCCAAAATCTCAGTAAATCCCTGGCATGTATTATGCATGAATAGATGGTACTACATGGCAAAAGATGAGTACCATTGACTTGCAAGGTAGGAAATACTCCATAGTTCTCACGTGTGCACAGCAACTACTGTCCCCGAAAGTCTCTCCACTGGCCCAGGAGTATGCTCTTTAATTCAGTAGCACAGGAATTTTGGAAGTGGTTTCACAGAATAGCTGTAACCTGGCAGGGGTCACCCCAGTACCCCTTATTGTATGGTAGTTGAACGCAGATAAAATACTGTTTGATTTTTAAACTTCAAGAATGCAATGACAATGTCTTATAATCCATGGTAACATTCAACACAATCCCTAATGTGGAGTGTTTATTGAATAAATAAGTGGAAAATGAAAGCGACTGGGGAAGGCAGAACTTATTGGGAAGAGTTAGACTAACTAGACTGTGGATTTCACACTGGTTTGGCATCAGGATCTTTTATGCAACTGAAATCTTCCTAAGTAGCTAATGGATAAAAGAAAATGTGCGACTGAATGAAGTTTGTAGAAGAGACAGAATAGGAACTCCCAGCCCATAACTTCCCACCTCACTTACCTCTACCAATTGTCCCTTGAGGATTTCCTAAAACCGTCAGCATTTCTCAGAGCACAAGTTAAACACAACCACACCAAACCAAATTCTACAACTATAAGAGTAAAATGCCCACTTTTGAATGGGCTTGTTTTTTTCTTGTAAATTTGTTTTAGTTCTTTGTAGATTCTGGATATCAGCAAGAACAGAAAAATCAAACACCATGTGTTCTCACTCATAGGTGGGTGTTGAACAATGAGAACATATGGACACGGGGAGGGGAGCATCACACACTGGGGTCTGTAGGGGGGAAATAGGGGAGGGACAGTGGGGTGTGGGGAGTTGGGGAGAGATAGCATGGGGAGAGATGCCAGATATAGGTGATGGGGAGGAAGGCAGCACATCACACTGCCGTGTGTGTACCTATGCAACAATCTTGCATGTTCTTCACATGTACCCCCAAACCTAAAATGCAATTAAAAAAAAGAATAAAATGTATATGATTTATCACTCTAATCCTAACACATAGGTCTTGGCTTTTAGTAAGTGCTCAGTAAACATTTACAGAATAAATTAATGTAGGGTTATGACATTTAGAAAAACCATTTGAGGAAAAGGGATAAATTTATAGAAAGATTCAATAGCAAACAATTTAGTCATCCCAAGATTCATATAAAATTGCCTTTAAAAACTAAAAGGATATGAACAAAAATATCCTCAAAAATGCATTTGGAGAAATTTTATTTTACATTAGTAATATGATATTCATTGGCTTGTGGGTCTTTAAGTGTGAAAAATAAATACATGATTCCTTTTAGAAGCAGTTATTCCGTTGTGTTCACATAGACTGAAAATCTGGGATTTATCTGCAAACTCATTTATACTGATAGTTAGCTTGAGATTGAGCATGCATTATTTTTTGTTCTTTTAGAAAATTTTGTTTCTTTGATCACTAGCTACAGCTGCTTAAATGAATGATTCTTTCCTCAAGTTCCTGATCCTGCTTTGTTCCAATTTTACACATCCCTTTTACTACTCAAAATTCATCTTCAAGTTACAGTTACAGGATGCTTTCCCCAACTCAGGGCTTATAGATAACTCACGTTTCACTTAAATGTACGTATTCTTGTTTCAAGGTTGCTCAAATGTAGAAACTTCCTAGAAGCTCTTCAATGGCGTTTCTTAATTAGAACTACATATACTAGTTCTTGAGGACAAAGAACAGTATAATGTTTGATGACTTAAATTGTATTGAATGTATAAAGCAACTTATCCAAGGAAAAACAGTTTCTCACTGAAGACAGACAAATGTCTTTCACAGTGAGCTACCCAACCAAAAATCCTTTGTCAGCAAAGCCTTTCAGATGTTTTCATGGACTTAATAATAGAATTTTATAAACAATTCAAAGTGGTTCAAAAAGTTTAATTGAATTTATGCATACAAAAGTTTATAGTATAAGACCAATATTGTTCATAGTTTAACTTTGATAAAGCTTATTGAAAATATTAGGCCAGGTGCAGTGGCTCATG